GAGTGGCTGCCACCTGCACAACCAACCAGGGCCAGGGACAAACTGCAACCAAAGTACGTGCCCTTAGCGGGAACCGAACCCGGGTCTCTCTAGACCGCAGGCCAACGCTCTAACCGCTGAGCCAAACTGGCCAGGGCTGATTATGTTTTTGTTGAAGCTTGTCACTATGAACTTGTTGTGGATCTATCAGTCAAATTGTGTGATTTTTTCCTCCAGTAGCCTGAGTATAGGTAAAGAAAAAGTGGAAAATTATAGCCAAACTGGGCTTGGAGTCTTTCCAGAAAAGCCCATCCCAACCATTGTATCTAATTTCATACCTCACTTCCACATTTCATTTTCTCGCTGCATCTCATTATGTGGTCTTTCTTTGATTAGAAACTGTCTCCCATTATACTTTCTTCATTTCACTACTGCACCCATTGCTCATATCCATCACTCAATGTCATTGCCTCCACTGACTGCTGAGACTGCGGGCCAGGAGAGTTTCACGGGGGACTGCAGGAGATGGAGGTGGGACGAGGACAAGGCCACGAACAGGCGGTTGAAGCCTGAATTGGCAGAAATGGTCAAGCATGCCTTTGAGAAGGTGGACGTGCCCATATTAAATTTAATTAACTTGCCACTGGGAACTATCATGTAATCCTGCCTTTCACAATTATCCACAGGCACTCAGGAAATCTGTTACATCCAAAATCTGTTACATCCAAAATCTGAGGCCTTCTTTTAGAAATTAAGGACAAGTGACTGTTCTCTCCATTGGCGTCCATTGGCGTGTAGGGAAAGGAAGCAAGGTGACACAGATCAAGAGCAGAAATTCAGAGCCAGTAGTGACCTCGGCAAGACAAGGATTAGGACAGTGGTTTTTTCTTAGCTCTAGGGTATCCCCTCCTTTAGTGGAAAAGGAAATAAATTTAATAGGTTATAATCAGTTTCAAGTGAAATAGAACGAATAGAAAGTAAAGTGTATCACGCATATAAGATAATTACTTTTTGTGAAACTTTTTTTTTTTTTGTCCTCACCTGAGGATATTTTTCCATTTATCTTCAGATAGAGTGGGAGGGAGGGGGAGAGAGACAGAGAAAAAGAGAGAGAGAGAGACATTGACGCAAGAGAGGCATGTCAATTGGTTGCCTCTGTACAACCCTGACCAGGACCAGGGACCAAGCTGCAACTGAAGTACATGCCCTTGACCGGAATTTAACCCGCAACTCTTTGGTCCTCAGGCTGAGGCTCTAACAGCTGAGCCAAACCGGCCAGGGCTGAAAGCTTTTTTTAAAAGATAACCCTGGCCTGGCTGGTGTGGCTCACTGGTTGAGCGTCGACCCTTGCATGTACCAAGAGGTCACCAGTTCAATTCCCCGTCAGGGCACATTCCCACGTTCTGGGCACAATCCCCAGTGTGGGGCATACAGGAGGCAGGCAATCGATGTTCTCTCTCATTGATGTTTCTATCTTTCTCTCCCTCTCCCTTCCTCTTTCTCTAAAATCAATAAAGAAAAAAAAAAAAAGAAAGAAAGAAAGAAAAGATAACCCTGGTATCTGGTTCCCCTGGAAACCCATAGAGGATATGGTCACAGTACCATTTATTGACAAAATACAAAGGGTCAGTGTTAAACTTCTTTATATGCATTAGTTTAGTTACTGATTAGCACAATAACCACTAATATAGGAGATATTATAATTATCCTCATTTTCCCAATGAGCAAACTGAGACTCAGAAACTGTGAGTTGTTGCAGGTCATTCACACATCTATCGAGTGGAAGGGATGAACATCTATCTAACCAATGCACATAACCATTTTGTAAAGATGGAGCCTCTAGGGGCCTTCTTATGTCTCTGCTTCTTTATAAAACAGGGATAATATTGTTACCTTTTATTAGGGATATAATGATAACTTCACAAATTCTTTTTTAAAAGACTTTGAAAATAAGTTACGACTATTGAGTAGTTCATTTTGTTTTGTTTTTATTGTTTTTTTTAATTGCATTGTAGAGTACAGTGTTACAGCTAAATTTCCAAGAGTCAGTTGCCTTCTGTTATGCTTATTTTTCTCATTTATCTTTGGAGGCAATAAGGCACCAGACAAGTAAAGTCAAATGGCAAATGACTGCCTAGCTCAGTTCTTATTTCATTAAACACACCATCTCCCTCTCTGGTCTCACAGGCCAGCCTCAGAAGTAGGCAGATTAGGCAGCCACCTGCTTAAAGATCTGGAAGATACTAAAAGGTCTCTACCTAAAAATGCCTCCCTCACATGTAATTCTAATTGCACACACTCCCCAGTGGCATCTTTGGAAAGGTACATCCTTTCCAATTCACTTAAGGTCGAAGTTACCTGAGAGGGGTTATTTATTAGCTAACTAGTCACTCTGTCACAGAAGCCACCTGCTTCCAGAATCACTCAGGATAGAGAAGGGGCCTGAAGAAGGATACCCAGGGAGATATGATTTGATGGGTTAAGGGAGTGGGTAGAGAAGATGGAAGTGGAGTTAAGATTTAAGGAAAGGAAAGATCCAGAATTTGAAGTAATTTTAGTTTATTTTGTTTTTTTTTTATCCTCATCGGAGAACACTTGAATTTATCTTTAGATAGAGTGGGAGGGAGAGAGGGGGGAAGAGAGAGAGACACACACACATCAACGTGAGAGAGACACATCGAGTGGCTGCCATCCACACAACCCCAACCAGGGCCAGGGACAAACTGCAACCAAGGTACGTGCCCTTAGCGGGAACCGAACCCCAGTCTCTCTGGTCCACAGGCCGACGCTCCAACCGCTGTGCCAAACTGGCCAGGGCTGAAGTAACTTTAGGAAAGGCGAAACCATTGGGCAGCCTACTGACTTAGAGACATACCCATCTCTAAGAGAGAAGGTTTTAAAAAGAGGAGCAGGAGGAGATAAAGCAAAGAACTTGTATGCATGTACGCACAACCAATGGACGCAGACAGTAGTTTGGGGAAAGCAGGAGGGAGGTGGAAGCAGGGAGAAGGAGGTCAGTGGAGGAGAAATGGGGGGAAAGAGGAACAGGTAGGGAGTTAGTGTTTAATGGGTACAGAGTTTCAGTCGGAAAAGATGAAACAGTTCTGGAGATGGAGGTGACGGTGGTTGCACAAGAATGTGAATGCCCTTAATGCCCTCGACCTGCACAATGAACCTATGGCCCTGCAAATGGGCTCTAGACCATCTGTGAGGGGAATGAGGAAGGCAGCCGAGGCTGTTCTCACTCATCCTTTGCCTTCGAGATGGCTCCAGTGATCCTCACCTCCTAGAAGTCACTCCCATACTGTCCCTTCCACACTAGCTAGGGCTAACCTGGGTAGTTAGTAGGAAGCAGCAGAAATGACCTTCCAAGACTAGATCATAAAAGACATTGCAGCTTCCAACTGGTTCTCTCTTCGATCTTTTATCTGGGGGATGTGAGCTACCATGTGGTGAGAACACTTAAGCAGCCTATGGAGTGGTCCAGGAGCGGGATGCTGAGGCCTCCAGTCGACAGCCAGCATTGACCTGCCACCCAGGTGAGGAGCCAGCTGCCCAGGGAGCAGATCCTCAGCAAATCCAGCTGACACTGGGACGGCAAGGTCATGACAAAGCCAGAACCACCTAAGCTGCTCGCAAACTCCTGATTTACAGGAACTGTAAAACAACGTCTATAGTTGTTTTAAACAACTAAGTTTCCATGTAATCTGTTACACGGAACTTCATAACTAATCTGATAGCATGAGGATCCTTCGTCAGTTGCCTGAGGCTGGTGGTGTCTTCAGTCACTTATCAGTCTCAATTTGTTACTGGGATTATATCACAGCTACTTGCAGACATCCTGTGACCCCATTTACATAAAGTTGAACTTACCTTTATATGTTTTGAATACCCAGTAGGTGACCTAAAAACTTTCCCCAGATTGGAGGGGCATTGCTGGATGTCAGACAGTTAAAGCTAGGAAGAGCAGTTTCTGCATAATACACCTTGTCAGATAATGTGAATGTTTTTCCTTTAATACTGTAGGTGAAATGCTTAAAAACCTGAAGGCAGGCCAGTGTTTTAAATCATTTTACTCCTGTGCAGCCGGTGTGGCTCAGCAGATTGAGTGTGGTCCCAGGAAATGAGGGGTCCCGATTGGATTTCTGGTCAGGGCACATGCTTGGGTTGTGGGCTTGATCCCCAGTAGGGGGCATGCAGGAGGAAGCTGATTGATGTTTCTCTCTCACGTCAATGTTTCTATCTCTCTCTCAAAAAAACAAAAAAAACAATAAAAATATGTTTTTAATTTTTTTTTTATCCTTACCCAAGGACATTTTTTCCATTTTTTGTTCAGGTAGAGTGGGAGGGAGAGAGAGGAAGGGAGAGAGAGAGAGAGAAACATCGATGTGAAAGGGACACATCGAGTGGCTGCCACCCACACGACCAACCAGGGCCGGGGACAAACTGCAACCGAGGTACGTGCCCTTACTGGGAACGAACCCGGGTCTCTCAGGACCGCAGGCCAACGCTCTAACCACTGAGCCAAACCGGCCAGGGCTAAAAATATATTTTTAAACAAAAATAAATAAATCACTACACTCCTTAACTTATTTTTTATTTTTATTTTTTATCCTTACCCGAGGACATTTTTCCATTTTTTGTACAGATAGAGTGGGAGGGAGAGAGAGGAAGAGAGAGAGAGAGGGAAACATCGATGTGAAGGGTCACATCGAGTGGCTGCCACCCGCACAACCAACCAGGGCCGGGGACAAACTGCAACGTAGGTACGTGCCCCTAGCGGGAACCGAACCCGGGACTCTCTGGTCTGCAGGCCAACGCTCAACTGCTGAGCCAAACTGGCCAGGGCCACTCCTTAACTTATATGAATGCTCTTTAAATATATTTGTATAAAAAAAGGAGAAGGAAAAAAATAAAGGCAAGAAAGAAAGAAAAGAAGGAAGGAGGAACGGAAGAGAAAGTCAACTTCAGAACATTGTTAGGACCAACCTCTTTTTTCTCGGCTGTGTGTGTGTACCTACCTAGAATTCTAATCTCTGCATCTGTGACTCTCCAGTTTTTCAGCCCAAGTTTGATGAGTTGTGGGGTCCCCTCCAGTTGCTCCAGCAGCCTGGTCAGAATGACTCGTGCATCACTCCACCAGGGTAGCATCAGCACAGTTAGCTGTTTCAAGATGTGCAGCCTGTCAACTTGAAGAACCAGAGACCAGGTCAGGAATTGGATTCATCTCAAAACTGATGAAGGATGAAGGGATATGGGAAGAGTAATGGTCTTTCTCAATGTGCCTACTCATTGTACAGTGAGAACCAACTTGTTGCCCTGGCCGGTTTGGCTCAGCGATTAGAGCGTTGGCCTGTGGACCAGAGAGTCCCGGGTTCAGTTCCCACTAAAGGCACGTACCAAAAAAAAAAAGAGAATCAACTTGTTTTTTGGTTAGTATTTTATGTAAAGTGTTCAAGAATATACAAACATTATGCAGGATAGTATAATGAAACTGTGCGTACTAATAAGCCAACTTTCAACAAACACCAAATCATGGACAGTCTTGCTTCATCCTCACCTAATTCCTTCCCTTCTGTATTATTCTGAAGCAAATATCAGACAGTAAGTATCAGGTGTTTTTTTTTTTAAACATAATCACAATATCGTTATCACAACTTTAAAATCCTATTAATAACTCCTTAAGCAAAGTTGTCTTAAATATCATTTACTCTCAGACACTAGTTTCCGAAAAGGAGGCAAGCAGGTGGGAGCCTCAGGTGCATGTGAAAACTAGTGACTTAAAAGCCATGGGCCTGTGTTCCTTAAGGACAGATTAAGAAAAGGCTATATGACTTCCTGAAGGTGCAGCTATTAAAGCAAAATTGTCATTCTTACTCAGTTCATGTAGAGCTTCATTTCCGCCCTCTTCCAGGTGATTTTCAGATAAATCAAGAATGCTCAGCTTGTCCAAATTGTGAAGATTTTGAGCTGGAAAAAAAAATTTAATCCAAAATAAAAAGACTGTCAGGGAACTATATATGCATTTTATTTATTTATTTTATTTTTTGTTAATCTTCACCCAAGGGACTTGTTTATTTGCTTAATGCTATTTCAGTTCATGAAATGTTTCATAGAAACGTTCTACTTCTGATAGTGGGGACACCTGTATTGATCATGGTTGCTTAATCTAGTTGAAATCTTTCCTATCAAGACTGATTAGAAAAATCTCCTGTATAAAATTAGTCAAGCCCTGGCCGGTTTGGCTCAGCAGTTAGAGTGTCGGCCTGCAGTCCAGAGAGTCCTGAGTTCGGTTTCCACTGGGGGCACATACCTCAGTGGTGGTTTGTCTCCATCCCTGGTTGGGTCATGTGGGTGGCAACCACTCGATGTGTCCCTTTCATGTTGATGTTTCTCTCTCTCTCTCTTCCTCTCTCTCCCTCCCACCCTATCTGAACAAAAAACGAAAAAAGTCCTCGGGTAAGGATAAAAAAAAAATTAGTCAAGCCCAGCTGGTGTGGTCAGTGGTTGAGCGCCGACCCATGCACTAAGAGGCCACTGGTTGGATTCCCAGTTAAGGCACATGCCCAGGTTGTGGGCCAAATCCCCAGTGGGGGGTACATGCAGGAGGCAGCCAGTCAATGTTCTCTCGTCGATGCTTCTCTCTCTCTCTCCCTCTCCCTTCTTTTTCTAAAATCAATGAAGAAAAAAAAATTTTTTAATTAAGTTTTGCATGAATTTGTACTCTTCTTATAATAGTAGCTATTATTTTTAATCAGTCTTATGAATCCTTTTCTTGAAGTAAATTATCTTCTGGAGTTTGGTGCTTTAAAATAAAAAGCCTAACACGAGGGGTGCACCTCGAGGACCCAGCTGGGGTGATCAGGGAGGCTGTGCCACTGGGCCCTACAGGACACCTACTACAATAGGCCACCCTATGAAGCTGAGGAGTCATAGCAACTCTACCTAATACATAGAAACAAACACAGGGAAGCAGCCAAAATGAGGAGACAAAGCAACGTGAACAGAACAAAACTCCAGGAAAAGAACTAAACGAAGTGGAGATAAGCAATCTAACAGATGCAGAGTTCAAAACACTGGTTATAAGGATGCCCAAGAAACTTAGAATTTCAAGGAACTTTGTGAGAATTACAAGGAACTTAGTGAGACCTCAAGAACATAAAAAAGGACCAGTTGGAAATGAAGGATGCACTAACTGAAATAAAGAATGGCCCTGGCTGATTAGGTTTAGTGGTTAGAGTGTCGGCCCGTGGACCAAAGAGTCACAGGTTCGATTTAGGTCTAGGGCATGTACCTCAGTTCTGGTTGGGTCCCCAGCCCTAGTCAGAGACATGTGGGAGGCAGCTGGTTGATGTGTCTCTCTCACATTGATGTTTCTCTCTCTCTCCCTCTCTCTCCTTCCACTCTGTGTGAACAATAACAACAACAAACAAAAAAAAAAAGGAAAAAATATCCTTGGGTGAGGTTTAAAATAAGGGGTGGAGGGAACAGTTGCTATTGTCAATTCTAAACCCATCTCTTCCCAGTAACAGGTAGAGAAGTACAGAAGTGTACTCATCATTCTCGCACTGCTAGTGCTTGTCTAGCCCTTTTTTTTAATCTTTATTGTTGACTGTATTACAGATGTTCCTCATTTTCCCCCCATTGACCCCCCTCTTCCCCACTCCTGCCCCACTCCTGCCTTTCCCCACACTGTTGTCTGTGTCCATTGGTTATGCATATATACATAAAAGTTCTTTGGTTTATTTCTTCCCACCCCCCAACCCCCCTTCCCTTTGAGATTTGCCAGTCTAGCAACCAATTTGTGCTTCTTTTTTTAAACTTTTTTTTTTTTTAATCCTCACCCGCGGACATTTTTCCATTTTTTGTTCAGATAGGGAGAGAGAGAGAGAGAAACATCGACGTGAAAGGGACACATCGAGTGGCTGCCTCCCTCACGACCCAACCAGGGCCGGGGACAAACTGCAACCAAGGTACATGCCCTTAGCAGGAACCAAACCCGGGTTTCTCGGGACCACGGGCTGACGCTCTAACCGCTGAACCAAACCAGCCAGGGCCAATTTGTGCTTCTTAATCCCTTCACCTTTTCACCCATTTCCCCAACCCCCCTCCCATCTGGCAACCAACAAAATGTTCTCTGTATCTATAAGAATGTTTCTGTTCTGCTTGTTCATTTTGTTTGTAGATTCGATTGTTGATAGATATGTATTCATTGCCATTTTGTTTGTTCCTATATTTTATCTTTTTCTGCAAAAAAACCCTTCAACATTTCATATAATAACGGTTTGGTGGTGATGAACTCTTTTTAACTTTCCTCTCGTTAATTGGCCCCAGGCCTGGCACTAGAAGCCTCCAGCCTTGGTTCACAGCTTGGCTTTACCTGGACACCTCCAAGCCCAACACAAGAAGCAGCCATCTGCAGATCACTTTGCAGCTTATGCCTGGTGGCCCCGGGTAGAACACAGGCAATGGCTGACCTTGCCTCAGAGCCAGGACAGCTTCAGACCACATTGAAACACCACCACCCAACCACCACCCACTCAGTGGATACCAGAGCCCTGCTGAAGTAAGTCTTGCTCTGTGTGGTGGACCCTTGCCCATCTGGTCATCCATGGTAGTCAGAGGTCGGTGACAGGGAGAAGGTCCAAATAAGTCCCTGTGTGGGCCCTTTAAGAGGAGCTGCCTGAGGCTCCAGCCGCCTCAGCCTCCCTGAGCCTCAGTTCCCGCTGGTTTTTCCAGCCAGAAGTTATGGGGATTCTCTTCCTGGCACTGGAACCCTGAGCAGGGCATCTGGTGTGGGACGGGGACCCCTCAGTCCTCAGGAAGGACCTTCCCAGCCGAGGTGTCCTCCTGATTTTTATCCGCCACACGTGGGTGTGGGACCAGCCCATCACGCTTCCACCCCTCCTACCAGTCTGGATGTGGCTGCTGCTTTAATCCCGTAGTTGTAGGACTTTTGTTCAGCTTGATTTCAGGTGGTTCTGACTGATGGTTGTTCTGCAGTTTAGTTGTAACTTTGATGTGGTTGTGGGAGGACGCGATTCTGCGCTTTTCTACCCGCCGTCCTGACAGGAAGTCTGTCTAGCCTTTTCAAGCCATGGGTTTCTCTAGCTTTCGGTTCGTATTAGCGTATACATAATCTCAGTAATTCTTACAAACTCCCAGCAGTCTTCTATTCTCTTTTTGAAAGGGTTATACCATTTTCCCCAAAATCTAAATTTAAAAATCATATGAATTGCCCGGCTGGTGTGGCTCAGTGGATTGAGCAACATTCCACGGACTGAGAGGTCCTGATTTGATTCCCGGACAGGGCACATGCCCAGGTTGCGGGCTCGATCCCAGTAGGGTCATGCAGGAGGCAGCTGATCAATGGTTCTCACATCAGTGTTTCTATCTCTCTCTCCCTTCGTATTTCTCTAAAAAATCAATAAAAACATATTAAACACACACACACACGCACAATAACTGAACTGATCCTATCCAGTTTATCCAATAATATGCAAAGGTTTTTTTCATACTTGATATGCACATTCTTTGTGAACTCAAAAGACTCAACTCCTATATTAATGCACACTAACTCTATCTTAACAGGGCAATGGGTAAGAATTGGAAGGCCTGAGAATATTTAAGAAAGTCCCGCTCTCTGCTTCTCAATCATTTATTTATCCATTCATCCAAATATTTATTAAGCAGTTATTAAAATAGGACATGTGCCAAGTATCAAGCACCTACTTCTTATTTTCTTCCTCTTCACCTTCTCTTAAAATAATAACATCTTCAATTATTCTGAAGTTCTCTATTATTCATCTATGATACATTTTCATTCTAATCGTGAAGAAAATCATTAAAAACAGACTAGCTATTACCTAGAAGTTTTTAGTATCTTTTCCGGTTTCTCTACAAATTAAATTTCTGCTTGATAGACTTAGCATGCATTGCTATGAAAGTATTGTGTGTTCTCTTACACTGTTCTCAGTTAATGCAGGCAGCAGTTACCTAGGGTTTTTTTTTTTTTTTAAATACTTTTTTTTAAGTTTATTTTTTCTTTTTTTTTATCCTCACCCGAGGACATTTTTCCATTTTTTGTTCAGGTAGAGCGGGAGGGAGAGAGAGGAACAGAGAGAGACAGAGAAACATCGATGTGAAAGGAACACATCGAGTGGCTGCCACCCACACAACCGACCAGGGCCGGGGACAAACTGCAACCGAGGTACATGCCCTTAGCAGGAACCGAACCCAGGTCTCTCAGGACCGCAGGCCGACGCTCTAACCGCTGAGCCAAACCGGCCAGGGCTTACCTAGGGTTTTTACAGCAGTTGCCGACAGGCAGCAGGAGACTAACTGGATTTCTTCAAGGTCACAGGGTTCAGCCGACACAGACTTTACCATGTAATCCATTCCTTTCCCAATGTCAGACAAGTGGGTCAAACGAAGTAAACACATATTCTTCAGGTTTGTCAGACCTTCAGCTATAAAAAGATGGAAAGGAAATGCATTAGGAACCAAGTTAATTTTATTTAACCTTAAATTCATAGGCTGAAAAGAAGGCAATGGGCAGTTGCACAGAGCCCTTGCCATGCTCTTTCTGTGGAAACCTTGAGTTATAAAAAGCCAAAGAGAGTAGTTTTTCTTTCAACTATCACTCTCCCAGTTCCTGGGCCATACAATCACTTATGTGGAGGTCATTCTTTCAGTAGCATGAGGAAAACTATAGTACGTGTGTAGTATTTTAATGGGTATCAATATGTACGTTTACCATACCTTTTTTTAATATAAGTAAGTCTTCTGTGTGAGCACTATCTCTTTAAACCCTTCAAAATTCTTAGAAGGGGTGGAGGCTGAATTCAGAGGGGCAATATGGAGACTTCAGTTCCTTGGTGTGCTTCTAGAGTAACTGTCCGCAGCCTCAAAAGGCCCTGCTTGTGATTGCAGGGTATAGGGCCTGCCTGGTGCTTTCCAGTGAAAACCACACCCAATGCAGCGTGCTTACCTGGGAGAAAGATTTCTCTTATATCAGTGGTACAATGGAAAACATTCTAAAATGTCCCTTGGATTGATCGGGCATATATTTGTGTCATTAAAATAGTTCTTTATCTTTTTTATTTTTAATATGTTTTTATTGATTTTTTAAAGAAGAAGGGAGAGATAGAAACATCAATGTGAGAGAAACATCAGTCAGCTGCCTCCTGCATACCCCCTACTGGGGATCGAGCTGAAACCCGGGCATGTGCCCTGACCAGGAATCGATCCAGGACCTCTCAGTCCATGGGATGACACTCAATCCACTGAGTCACACTAGCCGGGCATAAAATAGTTCTTTATCTTGATGGTACTCTAATGTAGAGGAAAGAAATGTACTGTTCTAATAACAGCTACCTTGCAGAGCTTTGGGAAGTTTGCAAGTAATGTATGTAATGTATTTAGTATGGTGCCTGGTACATAGAAAGTGAATATTAATTGTTGTCTTGGGAGTACACACAGCTTAAAGGTTGTGAACATGAGCTGGGCAGTCATTTTGACTCCTGAATCCCATAGTTAATAATTGTGTAAACTTGGACAAGTTGTTCAACATTTTAGCTGCGGTCTGGGGGATAATTTTGCCTATGTACAAGGATTATTGTGAGGATTCAATGAGAAGTATGTAAAAGGGCCTGGTATAGTGTCTAACCTATTGCACATTAACTCTTTGATGAGTAGTAAAGTTAGACTGGCTTATTCAGGTCCAGACTTTGATTCCTTAATACAGAACCAGATTGTCTCAGCTAGGTTTCTTTGCACCCTTTCTACCAATTGGTGAGAACTTAGGCAAGTCAGTAAATTATTCTAGGTTCCAGTGCTGTAAAATGAGATGCTCTCAGGCTCCTCTGAGCTCTGATATTCTGTGTAACTCATAGACATGCAATAAATATTCTCTGAACACTGAATCAATTTGATTATTCTCATGTAGGTTTATAATGAAAGAAAGGTTAGTCATGTCTTAAATATAGAATAGGGTTGTCTTTAGGTAAGCAGAATGAAAGAGAACAAAGCTGAGGAGCATTTAACAAGCCTCAAACTGGAGGTGTGAGGAGAGCCAATAAAATAAAGAAAAAAATACTACCCCCACAAAAAACAAAACTGTTGAAAAACAACTTCAACAGGAAATCCTCCTTGTCCTGGAAGACAAATCACGTGTTCTGCCTGTGTTTTTGAAGTTTTCTTAATCCACATTAATTCTTATGGTCCATTCCATTTTTGAAGTTGTATTAAATTATAAAACCATGGTACAAAAATTATAATATTGTTTATATGCTTTAAATACAAATATAGCCAATAATTTATGAAGCTTTACTTAATTAAGAAACCATTTACATTGTTTCTATGCTTTAAATACCAGTTGAGTTAACCACCCAGGAAGATAAAACATATCGTAGCTTCTATTCTCAAAGGGTTACAATATAGTGGTGTACAATTTACATAAAATGGTGCTGAAGAATTGGAATGGAGTGGAGAAAATGTCCAGGAAAACCAATGTAGTCATAAATGCATAAAGGCATCCTGAATCCCATACTTGTATAGACACAGCCAGTGTCAAAGCATCTTGAGTTAACTGTTCTTATTATCAAACTTATATTAATTTTAAAAATTAGGGAAAAACTATAACCTAGTTTTATAGCATCTTCCTCATTCATCTTAATGTTATCCAGTATAAGCGTTATAAGGTTCTTCAAATTACCCAAGCTGTCAGTCAGACCACCTGCCAAAAGAAAAGAAATTGGACTGTGTTCAGATGTCATTTACTAAATTTCTTTACCAATTAAAAGACTGTCACCCTGGCTGGTTCGGCTCAGCGGTTAGAGCATCGGCCAAACAACTGAAAGGTCACAGGTTCAATTCCTGGTCAAGAGCACGTAGCTGGATTGCAGGTTCCATACCTGGCCCTGGTTGGGGTCTTATGGGAGGCATCCAATTGATGGGTCTCTCTCACATCAATGATTCTCTATCTCTCTCCCTCCCTCCTTCCACTCTATCTTTTTTTTTTTTCTTTATTGATTTTAGAGAGAGAGGAATGGAAAAGGAGAGAGAGATAGAAACATCGATGAGAGAAAACATTAATTGGCTGCCTCCTGTATGCCCCCTACTGGGGATTGAGCTCTGGCATGTGCCCTGACCAGGAATCGAACCAGCAACCTCCTGGTGCATGGGCCAACACTCATTCAACTGAGCCACACCAGTTGGGCAATCCTACAAAACTATTCAGAAAACTGAATTGTAGTTTTAGATTTTTATAGGCCCAGCACACTTCCACTGCCCCACTCTGCTATTTATAGTTTTAGATTTTTAAAAAAGAAATCTGCAAGCACAGATAATTTAACTTGCAGATTTTACCAAACATTTAAAGAAGAAATAACACCAATTCTATAAATCACTTTTAGAGAATAAAAGTAGAGGGAACCATTCCCAACATATTTTATGAAGCTCCATTAATTAATATGAAACCCAAAGACAATAAAGCAAAAGAATATTTCAGACCAATATCACTCATGAGCATAGAAACAAAAATCTTCAATAAAATATTACCAAGGAATCCAGCCATATATAAAAAGAATATTATACTACCACCAAATGGGCTTCACACAGAGAATGCAGGGCTGTTTCAATATTTGGAAATCAATTCATGTAATTCACTATATTAACAATAAAGAAGAAAAATTACATGATCATATAAATCAATACAGAAAAATTATTTGACACAATTCAACATCCATTCATGATAAAAATTCTCAGCAACCTAGAAATAAGGAAACTTTGCTTCAAGCTAATAAAAGCCATCTACAAAAAACTACAGTTAACATCATACTTAATGGTGAACAAAAAAAACTGATGAACAAAGCAGACCCAGAGATATGGAAAGGAGTAGTTTCAGACTGACAAACCTCAGAGGAGAGGGGAGGGGAGGGATGAGATAAACCAAAGAACTTACCTGCATGTGTGTGTAACCAATGGACATAGACAACAATGCTGGGGGAGGGGGGTTGCGGTAAGGGAGGAGGGTTACTGTGGGGAAAAAGGAGAAACATCCATAACAAAAATAAATTAAAAAAAAAAAAAAAAGCTGGCAACTCCTTTAGGAAGAAGAGTCATAGCTAGGAGGAGACTTCAGTGTAGATTGTTTTGTACTTTGGATCTTGTGAATATATTACTCAAAAAATACATTTAAAAAATTAAGAACAGCCCTGGCCGGTTTGGCTCAGCGGTTAGAGCCTTGGCCTGCGGTCCAGAGAAACCCGGGTTCGGTTCCCGCTAAGGGCACGTACCTCAGTTGCAGTTTGTCCCCGGCCCTGGTCAGTCGTGCGGGTGGCAGCCACTTGATGTGTTCCTTTAACATCAATGTTTCTCTCTCTCTCTCTCTCTGTTCCTCTCTCTCCCTCCCACTCTACCTGAACAAAAAATGGAAAAATGTCCTCGGGTGAGGATAAAAAAAAAAAGTAAAAAATTAAGAATAAAATATTGGCAAACATTAAAAAGAAAATGCTAAACACTGCACAGGTCAGTTCAGCATATAGGCGACCAGTGTGCAGATCGTTACAAAGGAATAGCCATCAAGAGGAGATAGTGAGCCTCCTGGCTCAGGAGGTAGTCTAATAAAGTCTGGGTCACTCTCTGAATCTTTTTATTTTATTTATTTATTTATTTATTTATTTATTTATTATTTTTAATCCTCACCCAAGGATATTTTTTCTATTTATCTTCAGATAGGGTGGGAGGGAGAGAAAGGGAGAGAGAGAGAGAAACATTAATGTGAGAGGGACACATCGACTGGTCGCCTCCCATACAAGGCCGACCAGAGCCAGGGACGAACTGCAACGGAAGTGAGTGTCCTTGACCAGAATTGAACCCACGACTCATTGGTCCACAGGCTGACGCTCTACCACTGAGCCAAACTGGCCAGGGCTCACTCTCTAAATCTTACAGAAGGGATTCCTGCATCAAGTACAAGATTGCAAAAACTATCTGTACAAAAGAGTATAGATTCTTAAATCACAGAAAATTTTCTCTGCAGGAGACAAGTGAGGACAAGCACAATGGGAAATCACTTGTGAATGAAAACGAATCTCAGATTCCAGTCAAGCAGAGCATGGCTCATGCCAGCCATAGCTTCACACCACACAGCAGCCCCTGCTCCTGGCAACAGGGCTGATCTACACACATGTCTTTAGCATTATTTTGAATTTGGGAAAAACTCCCCTTTACGCAAAAAGATTGCCCCCGCATGTGTGCGTCTGAAGTCTGAAATTCAAGTTAAACAAAATCAGTTCCCCAAATCTTTTTTCAAAATGAACAATACTTGGGGTCAGGAATGGGGCTGGGTTTGTTGTGCAATTTCCTAGATAAGAATCTGGTAACACAATTAGCCACTAGCTCCTGCCGGTGATTAGCTTACAGGCTGGATTTCCTCCCAGACTTGAAGGGGGGAGGGGAGCTGCAGGGTGGAGATGGAGGTGCTGAGAAAGGGGAGAGTTCACTGAAGATGAGCTTAACCACTATACAGGGTGAGACAAAGTACGTTACAGTTGTGAGTACATGACACATAGAGTATATACACATACACACACGCAAACACGCATTGCTGTATAAACTATATAGCTGTTCAATCAAACTCTATAGCTTCAGCTCTAGAAATCCTAGGGCCTCCCAATCTGACAGCCTTCCCCCCACATTGATCTCCCTCCAGCCCTTCCACCTCCCTTCCAAGTCCTGAAGCCTGGTAGAAACTATTATAAAATTTAAAGCAAAACAATATAATATCTAACATTTCCACAGTACTTAGCTAGGTTCAATTATAGCTTCAGTTGCTGAGGTTTACAATACCCGGTAGCCGTTGAGTCTGCAGGTTGTGAATACTCAAGGTTTTCAGGTTCATCACGGATGTGATGTGCTGCTCGTCTTCTATGGTGAGGGGACTGGCTTCCACCAGGAGGGAATGAATGTTCTTACAGGTGCTGAGGACCAAACTGAGGCTTCCAGCCACGCCAGCACATCTCTTAATGTTCAGTCTGAGACTTGTAGCAGAGCTGAATATCTTTCCCAGATATTTGATATCTTGCTTATTCAACTTGCTGAAATCCCGGAGTGTTACCTCCAGAGTCTTGAATTCCTGCCTCCAGTTGAAGAACAAAGACACAGCCCTGCTGGGAATGTAGGTTCCAGAGGACTCTTCCTTATGGGTCCTGCTCGTATCCTTTGAAGCTGCAGCTCCCCCGTAGAAGTCCAGTTTAATGAAGTCCAGAGCACTTGCACAATTAGGCAAGTGTTCAAAGAAGTCAAACAAGTAATCAGGGATGTTCTCTGAGTTTATATATAGGCTTTTACCACGAAAGAAAGCTTCAAATTCTTCACTCAGGTCTGCTTTGGATATACTCTCATGAAATAAATTGATGCCACACTCTGTAAAGGAGCTGATGTTTATGGCTTTTAGAATTTCTTGCACAGTAGTGCCTTTCACATTTTGCATAGATTTCTGCCTCCAGAGAGGCCTCTTGGTGATGGAAAACCCAAGGAGGCTGCCGTGTTGACACACGACTGCTAGGTGTTTCAGGACTATCCTGGTGGCTTCAGCAGATGATCCACAGGTGTACAGGAGCAGGTTGCTATACTTGGATGTAATGTCTGAAATAGAAACCATTTTCTGCAAATGACCATTTCCCTTGGTCACCTCCTCTGGCTCCCGAGATGCCAATAAACTGCTGAGTCTACGTCCTGCTATGTACTCCTGGAATGATTTATGAAAGAATTTATACTTTGGCTTGAACCGTTGAGCTGTGTATTTGCAGAGAAGGCCGGTTGTCAGTATAACATCCTCATTCACACTGGACATGTCCTTTGGTTCAAAATCAAACCTGTGGTTGAACACGCCCTCCAGAGCTAGGTCTCCACAGTGGTCCAGGCTCCGAGTGAAGTCACTTGCAGCCACCCCTCTACATTTGTACTTGTTTTTTTGTATCAGCAGGTCATAGAAGGTACAGAACAGCGTTGTTTGTGTGTGAGAGTGAAACTCACTTTCCCCCATCTGGATTGCACAAGTGATGACCACAAAGAGCGGGGTCTTCATCAGATTCCTCAAGCACCTGGATTTCTGGATTTGGAGCACCAAGCCTTCCGCAAGCTCCTTGATCAGCACTTCCTGGATGAGCGCTTGGGCACTCTCCACCGTCATATCCCCTACCTCGCAAGTCAGCGCACCAAACTGCCTGATAAGCCTCAGGCACTCAGTGGTGGTGGTGACCATGACCATGTTCTTGAAGCGGTGGTTTTCCTTTATCAGGGCCTCGATTTCTCGGCAGTTCTGGGCCTTGAATTCATTGTAGCCATCCAGGAGAAAAAGAACCCTCTGCCGTAGCTTCAGCAGCATGGCCATGAAGGTCTGCTTTCTGATCGTATCAGGAACATCCAGGAGTTGATCACACAACGTTTCAAAGAGTCCACCCTGGGCCCTGCTCAGACGGAGAAAGAAGACTAATTTGAACTTGGTCAGAGCCCCACACTTTCCTGAGGCCCAGAGCATGGCAATTCGCTGTAGCAGAGTGGACTTCCCCTTGCCTGATTCCCCTTCAATGATGCAGGGGCTCTGAAGAGTTTTCAGCAGATCACTCAGGGCCAGCTGTTCCACACGGTGATGGTGTTGGTCCTTCCTCCATAGAACAGGTTCTGTGAAGGTGCTTGTCAAATTAAAAATAATGTCAATATCTTCACCCAGGGGATAGAAGTTCAGAAAAGATGGGGACTGGTATAACTCTTTTAAATCCTGGGCCAAATCATCTAAGTCTCCTTCTGACATCTGATGAAAAAGACCTGTGACAGAAGAGGTGATATTAAAGAGGACCCAGTTCTGTGTCTCCCCAGAGCCTAAAGTTCAGGAGAAGGAAGGGGGAGTGAGGCTGAGAATCTTCCACTGGTGATTTTAATTTCCATCCCAGTTCTCAGCTGGCACAAGGGGTTCCACATATTTACTCCTGCCTTTTCCTCTCACCCTTTGCCCTTCCTCCCTTTTTGTCTTCTGTTTCCTCCTTTCCACCACCGAATCTTGTAGTGGCTGATGGGAAATGGGAGGAGACTGTGTTTGGGTTAAGAAAAGTGCATGAGAATAGTGGGGAGATGGCTGAGAATGATGGTTAGGGGTCACTTGCAGCATATTGGGCCTTAACCTTGGTTAAAATCTGTCATGAAATAATTTACCAATTTAAAGAAATAAAAACTAGCCCTGGCCAGTCTGGCTCAGCGGTTGGAGCGTCGGCCTGTGGTACAGAGAGACCCGGGTTCGGTTCCCGCTAAGGGCAAGTACCTCGGTTGCAGTTTGACCCCGGCCCTGGTTGGTCGTGCGGGTGGCAGCCACTCGATGTGTCCCTTCACATCGATGTTTCTCTCTCTCCCTCCCACTCTATCTGAACAAAAAATGGAAAAATGTCCTCGAATGAGGATATAAAAAAAAAAAAAAGAAATAAAAACTAAATTAGTATTTTATGAAATGCAGAATCATGCTTCACTAGTCAGTCAGGCTTCCTCGCGGTGCTTGGATCATGGAGCAGGTAGTAGGCTGGGCCACTTATCAGACTAAAGAACATTAAGAACTACTACTTCATGGACTTCTTAGGTGCCTTCATTGTCCAGTTTGATTTTTGAAGTGAGGCTATTTCTAAATCATCGATTCCCTGACCCTGGAGTTACCTATTGGCTTCACCATCAATTGATCTAATGGGATTTTTTTGCTGAGAGTACCTGAGTTTTTCCTTACCAAGGACAAAGTCTACCACCCAGTGATATGAAGGAGGAGGGGAGCAGAGGCTCTGTCATGGGGATTATGGATCTTCACCATGGTTTAGTCTATCTGTGGAATAGATACAAAGCAAATTGATACTTACTTTGTCCATTCAAATCCTGAAACAGAGGATAGTTCCACTTTTCAAGGGATTTAAGAAAAAGGTTACAGGCTTCTGAACCCTTCTTCAAAATCATGTGAATGATCCCTCTTGCAGCATCCTGTTCGACCTTCTCACAGCAAATGATGTTTACTTCTTCAAAATTCAGAACATTCCATACAAAGAGCTCATCCACAATTTGCTTTGTAACAGTCATTCCCATCCTTTGAATGAGGACTTGACTGTTCTCCTTAATGAAATTCACTGAGGAGATGGGGAAATATATACATATTTGTTCACTTATATAATATATGAATGTCATGTTGCCAAAGCATTAGAGTCATGCATTTTCCCCCTTTAGACCCATCTTGAGTTATGGAGATGGCAAATGCTTGAATTCCAGGCCCTCAGAAAAGCCCTGCAGGGCCCCTTATCCCTAACCCCTTGGTGAGCAAAATGGTTTTTCTTTGGTAATAAATTAAGGTGAACAATCTTATTCCCCAGTATAAGAGGGTCCCCAGTGAAGTCATAGTGAGCTTTAGACTAATGAGACAGAACTAGGATCTGCCAGTTGCCACCTCTGTGAGTCCTTGGCAAGTTGCTAAACCTCTCTGAGCCTATTTGAGTGCTGTGTTGCTAAATGTGGAATACACTGGCTCTCTGGGGGTGAAGGCCCTACTGTGTAGCACTTACCAATGTCCATGTTATAAATATTCCCACCATGGCTGATTTCAACTAATAATATATGTCAGCTGGTAACTGAAGTCACGAACATTCAACAAGGAGGCTTCACAAAACAGTGAGAACCAGCTCCAGCACAATACTGGTTCCTTATCTGTACAATGGTGTTGAGAACAGTATTTAACTTACAAAAGTGTCATGAGAATTTATGTATGGTATCTCATGCAAAGTAATAGCTCAATACATGTGAGCCACTATTTTTAGGCATTATTTGGCTGTCACCATTCAAAAGAGTTGCATATTTTATCTGCCATAGAATTTGCTCTTTTCTGTGCCCTGGCCGGTTTAGCTCAGTGGTAAGAGTGTCGACCTGTGGACCAAAGAGTCTCTGTTTCAATTCCGGTCAAGGGCACATACCTTGGCTGTGGTTGGGTCCCCAGCTGTGGGCAGGGGCATGTGGGAGGCAACCATTCGATGTGTCTCTCTCATGTGGATGTTTCTTCCTCTCTTTCTATCTCTGTCTCCCTCCCACTCTATCTGAAGATAGATGGAGAAAATATCCTCAGGTGAAGATTTAAAAAAAAGACTTTGGTCTTTTCTGAAGAGTATCACCACAGAACAGTTGTCTGTATCCAGTGTACGCCCTCTCACCTCTGCAGTCCTTGGGGAAGCTGTCATTTCTGTGTCTGCCTCTCCAAGCTTGAATGCTCAGACACAGACCACACGGTGCCCAGGCACTCCGTGACAGCTCAGCGAAAGGTCTCCCTGGTTTTTCACTCTTACCTATCTGCACTAGCTTTCTTCCTGGGCTGGACTGCTCCTGGTTTTCAAATCTCTCTTGCCTCTCTGGTCTAAAATGCACCATCAGCAAGGATCCCGCCCCAACTTGCCTTCTCTCTGTCACAAATCTCTACTACTAACCTCAGCTGGAATGTTCCCACCTCCCTGTCTACACGTTCTGTTAGTGAGTCTCATCTCTTTGCCCTGGGGTCTCATCTGTTTTCTGGCTTCAACAAATGACCTCTAACTCTGGATCTAGTCACTATCTTCATTTTACAGCTGAAGGAATGTTGCCTCAGAAAGGCCTAAAGACCTCCACAAGGTTACAAGATTACCCTTTTTGAGACTACCTTTCTTCAACTGTAAAATTAAACTATTGACTAACTATCATGAAGCCCTGGCCGGTTCTGTTCAGTGGTTAGAGCCTCAGTCCACAGACCAAAGGGTCACAGGTTCGATTCCCAGTCAAGGGCACATACCTGGGTTGCAGGTTCGATCCCTGGCCTCAGTCAGAGGGGTCAGGGTTGTTTGGAAGGCAACCAGTGGATGTGTCTCTCTCAAATTGTTGTTTCTCTCTCTCTCTCCCTCCCTCCCTTTCACTCTATCTAAAAAGCAATGAAAAAATTTCTTTGGATGAGGGGGGAAAAAAAGACTCATGAAAAAGATTGAATAAAGTCGCATACATTAAAATGTTTTAAAATTTGAAAAGTGTACTGCTATATAACTAAGATTTTCTTATTATTAACCATGGTATATCCTCCCATGTATGGACTACCATACTTCTCTCTTATCAAGTAATTACGTGAAAACAATGCTGCTTATTTATTCATTCTTTCATTAATTTAGTATTCATTCTTATCAGACTGTCTCTTTGTCTAGACTAGCATTGTACAGTAGAATTTTCTGAAATGATAAACATGTTCTATATTTCTGCTAATGGCTACTGTCCAGGAGAGTAGCCATTAGCCACATGTGACTACTAAGCACTTGAAATGTGGCTAGTGTGTCTGTGCAACTGAATTTTACATTTAATTTAATTTTTTATTTTAATTCACATTTAAATAGACATGTGGCTAGTGACCACTACATTGGATAGCACAGGTTTACACCCAGTAATCAAAGTGGAAAGAGTTACATTTTGACTGTCTTTAGATCTACGCCATGTTTCTACACAATGTACTTGATTAGTATAGATCTCTGCTGTCTGTCTAGGAGGATATGCTAATAGATGATGGCAGGTGACCAATTTTTTAAAATATACACCTGGTTGCTCTTTGTGAAAGTCCCATCTATCTGTGGTTCTGCCTTTTATCATGGGCTGCCATGTTTATAACTGAATTCTCAAAACCACAAAAGAATATTTATTGGGAATTCCACATATAACTGGTCAGGGGAAGGCATGAATTGATTTTCCATTCAATATCATCAGTATTTGGTAACACACTATATAACCAGACAGATTTTATTCCTAGTATACTTACTTTTTCTGAATAAAAGCTTTCCACTCTTCTATAGTTCAATACATGGTATTATTTCCAAATGGACAGGTCAAAGATGATCCCAATATTGGCTTCTTCTTTCTGTAAAACTGTTCCTCATTCTTCAAAACAAGCAAAACAGAACCAGAAACTAACAGGCAGCAAACATGGTATTTCTTCTCCCCACCCCCTCCCTACACCCCATAAGGATACACTACACATAATGTTTAACATCTGCTGCTGTTTTTTTCATTTAGTATATTTTTTAGACCTTTCTATATCAGTTAAATATTAAACTGCCTCAGTTGTAAAATCAACCTCATTGAGGTATAATTTACAAGCAATAAAAGCACAAGGAGCTTTGCCAAATGTACATGCCCAAATCAATAACACCTCAATTAAGATTTAGAATTTTTCTATCATGGCAGAAAGTTTCCTTGTGCCTCTTTGTAGTCCATCTCTCCTATTCCCCACCAAAGCAACTACCAACTTGGTTTCTTTCACTATAAATTGCTTTTGCCTGTTCTAGAAATTGATATAAATAGAAAAATATGTTATGTATTCCTGTGTCTGGCTCCTTTCACTTACTACCATTTTTCAAGATTCGCATCGTTGTTTGCATGTATTAGGAGTTCGGTCCTTTTTATGACTGAGCAGTATTCCATTATATGAACAGATCAGTTCACTTATCAGTTCTCCTATTGATAGACATTTGGTTTGTTTCCAGTTTTGGGCTATTATGAATGAAGCTCCTATGAACATTCATGTGCGAGTAAGTTCTTTGTGGACATACATTTTCATTTCTCTTAGGTAAATATCTAGAAGTGGAATTTCTGGCCTATATGGTAAATGTATGACAATCTTATAGAAGGTACCAAACTGTTTTTCAAAGTCATTGTGCCATTTCACATGTCCATCAGCATGTATAACCAACAATTCCAGCTATTCTAAATCCTCACCAACACTTGGCATTATCCATTTTTTTTGCCATTTTAATAAGTGGGTAGAGGTGTCTCATTATGTAGTGGGGTTTTTTTTTTTTTTTTAATCCTCACCTGAGGATATTTTTTATTTTTTATCCTCACCAAGGACATTTTTGCATTTATCTTCAGATAGAGCAGGAGGGAGAGAGGAGGAAGAGAGAGAAACATCGATGTGAGAGAGACACATAGATTGGTTGCCACCCACACAACCTCAACTAGGGCCGGGGACAAACTGCAACTGAGGTACATGCCTTAGCGGGAACCAATCCCGGGACTCTCCGGTCCACGGGCCAATGCTCTAACCACTGAGCAAAACAGGCCAGGGCTGTAGTGGTTTTTTTTTAATGCTCACCATTGATTTTTAGATAGAGTGGAGTGGGGGAGGGAGAGGGAGAAACATCAACGTGAGAGAGACACATTAATTGGTTGCCTCTTACACAACCCCATCAGGGCCAGGGATCAAACCTGCAACCCAAGTACAAGCCCTTGACTGGGAATTGAACCCAAGACCCTTCAGTGCATGGGCCGACGCTCTAACTGCTGAGCCAAAAGGCCAGGGCATCTCATTACATAGTTATAATTTTAAAATTTTTGATGATTAATGATGTGGAGCATCTTTTCACGTAGTTTATTGTTACTCAAATCTTTTGTCAAGTATCTGTACAAATATTTTGCCCATTTTACAAATTGGCTTGTCTTTTTATTATTGACTTTGAAGAGTTCTTCATAGGCTTTGGATTCAAGTTTATTGTCAGATATATGTATTGTGAATATTTTCTCCTAATCAGTGGTTGTTTTGATTGTACCTGGATTTAATTTATAGAGATTAGCTGAGTGATAAAATGGAGAGAGATCAATGCCAAATGAAAGAAGTTTTATTATGGTTCCTAAGAGAAAGAGTGTGCCACACCACACAGGGCACACAGGGAAGTACCAGAATTGATCAGGAGACAGAAGGAGCAAAGAAGAAAGTTTAGTCCATACCCTGTTATGGTTTTCACAGGAAGGAATGGGTGAGGCATGTTAGGCAAGTGTGAGCAGTTTAAGATTGAATTGTTTTCTGCTATCCCTAGGAATTAGCTAGCTCTGATAATTTCAGTCTTTCTGGGCCAGCAAAGCTGCAAGATAGCAAAGAGTCATAAAATATATAAGTTTTTAAAAAATATGATTGATACAATGGTTTGCCTTTCTTAAAGTTTTTGAAGAGCTAATAATTTTCAATTTTATAAAGTCCAAAATATTAATTTTTGATTCATGAGGTTTATCTTTTTCCCATAGGGATATTTATTTTTTCAGCATGATAAACCTCAACTCCTTATCTTACATTAAACAAAAATTATCTCAAAATGGATCAATGAACAAAAAATTAAAAGCTAAAGAAAAAACTATCAGAATGCACTATTTTTTTTCATGAAAGTTTTGTTTCAATTCTTTATATATCCTAGTGATGTAAAATGTACTTTTTATTTATTTCTTTATTTTCTTTATTGATTTGAGAGAGAGAGAGAGGAAGGGAGAGGGAGAGAGAGATCTTTATTGGTTTTAGAGAGAGAGAAGAAGGGAGAGAGAGAGAGAGATAGAAACATTGATGAGAGAGAACATTGATTGGCTGCCTCCTGCATGCCCTGCACTGGGGATTGGGCCCACAACCTGGGCATGGGCCCTGACCAGGAATCAAATCAGTGACCTCTTGGTGCATGGGTCGACACTCAACCACTGAGCCACACAGGGCCAGGCTAAAAATGTACTTCTTATTGTGAGTTGAGGTCAATAAAAGTTTAAAGGTCAGTGTTCTAAGGTAACCCCCATGAAAGGATATTTAATTCTTAAGAAGTGATTTTTGCCCCTTGCGGGTTTGGCTCAGCGGTTAGAGCATCGGTTTAGACCAAAGAGTTTCAGGTTTGATTCTAGTCAAGGACAAGCACCTTGGTTGCGGTTCATTCCCTGCCCTGTCTGGGAGGCAACCAGTTGGTATCTCCCTCTCACATTGGTGATGTTTCTCTCTCTCTCTCACTCTTCCTCCCTCCTTCTACTCTATCTGACAATCAGTGGAAAAATATCCTCGGGTGAGGATTTTTTAAAAAGCCCTGGCCAGTTTGGCTCAGCGGTTAGAGCATTGGCCTGTGGATCAGAGAGTCCCAGGTTCAATTCTGGCCAAGGCCATGTACTTCAGTTTCGGTTGGGGTCGTGCAGGTGGCAGCCAGTTGATGTGTCTCTTTCACATCGATGTCTCTCTCTCTCTCTTTCCCTCCCTCCCTCCCTCCCTCCCTCCCTCCCTCCTTCTCACTCTATCTGAAGATGGATGTAAAAATATCCTCGGGTGAGGATTAAAAAAAAAAAAAAGGAAAGAAATGGCCCTGGCCGGTTTGGTTCAGTGGTTAGAGCATCGGCCTGCGGTCCCGAGAGACCCGGGTTCGGTTTCCGCTAAGGGCATGTACCTTGGTTGCAGTTTGTCCCCGGACCTGTTTGGTCGTGCGGGTGGCAGCCACTCGATGTGTCCCTTTCACATCGATGTTTCTCTCTATCTCTCTCTTTCTCTTCCTCTCTCTCTCCCTCCCACTCTACCTGAACAAAAAAATGGAAAAAATGTCCTCGGGTGAGGATAAAAAAAAAAAGGAAAGAAATGGCTTTTGAGTTGTTTTTAGAGGAAATCAAGGTTTGTCAGGCAGTAGGGGGAAAGGCTATTTTCAGGCAGAGGAAGCAGCGTAGGGAAGGAGCCTGAAAACCAGGATCAAGACAGCACGTGAGTGTATGCAAGTGCCTATTTTGCTGTCAGGATTTAGTTCAAATGTAAGCTCTACCAATGACAAGCTAGGAGTCTCTGACTGAGACACAGAAAACACTCAGTACATAGCAGCTCCTATAGTTTTCCCCGTTCTTCCTACTCCCCCAGAAAAGCGGAATCTGAGAGGACTCATACCTCTACCGACGGGGTCAAAGTTTAAGAGAGAACAGAGAAAAGAGGAAGAAGATAGAGGAAGGATCTAAGAAGTTCTGTATATTCACTTGTGAACAGAATAAACTAGCCCTGGAGTTGGCCATGCAGTCACTTTGCTCAAATAATCAATTAAAATTGCTACATGGGCCCGGCTGGTGTAGCTCAGTGGTTGAGCGTCGACCCATGCACCAAGAGGTCGCCAGTTCGATTCTTGGTCAGTTCAATGCCTGGGTTGTGGGCCTGATCCCCAGTGGGGGGGCATGTAGGAGGCGGCCAATTGGTTTTCTCTCTCATCAATGTTCCTATCTCTCTTTCCCTCTCCCTTTCTCTCTCACTAAAATCAATTTTAAAAAATTGCTACATGGACCATGAGTCAGAAATCTTGGCTGATTTTGAAGATGCTAAAAAATTCATATTCAATTTAAATACTGGTAATATTCTTCCTACCCACAGAGAGAAAGCCTGTGACCAGATCAGAAAACCAAGTCAAAGATAATTGACTAATTCATTGTTCTTGAGAATAAAATCAAACCATAGTCTGAAGCTCAGGTAGTCCACCCTCAGTTACCCACCAGCATAAAGGACCAGGTTGTGACGAGTTTGCTCCCCTGCATCATGGCTATGGCTCTGGACATTTTTCCACCTCCTTAAGCAAACTGTTCAGTGAATAACTGAGCATGGAAGAAGTCCTTATTCTACATTTGTACTTTGGAAAATAATATTTAGAAATACAGTAATTCTAAAAATGGACATTTTATTCTAACTGCTGAGCCAAACCGGCCAGGGCCCAAAAAGTATTTTCAAAGCTCTTTCCCTCACTTTGTCTCCCTTCTGACTTAATGTACATTTCAATTCCAAGGAACCTAATGAAATCCCACCAGGCCAAACTAACCACCCCAGAAGTTTCCCTGCAGGCAAATCCAGCCATGCAAAACCACAGTCTTCAGCGTTAAGGCCTTTATACCCCCAGACACAAGCTTTAAATAAATGTAAACCCAAATTTTAGTATTTGATTTCAAAATCCATTAAAAACCCCATTCTCTTTTTGCACAGTACCTGGCTGGATAATCCGGTTGCCCTGTTCTTGGTGGATCAAATACTTTTAAAATAAATTTTCATTTTATTTGCTTTTTGTTCCACAGCATGAGGTCTGGTGTCTTGTAGATCTGAGGTCTCTGTGTTCTGTGGCCTGGGATTGTAACATTAAACACTGACAAGTTCCACCCCTGCCCCACCTCAAGCATAGTAAGAATGGTTGGGAAACAAGAACTATGATTCAGAAAGGGAACATTTATTTTAGGAAAGGAGTTACTAATTTGTTTCCTATTTGTTCACAACATATGAATCCTACTGCCATTGGCTTATTTATTTTATAGCTTAAAATGAAGCAAAGTGTTTTGAATGTTTAATTTGCATTAATTTTTGTGGTTGAAGGAGAGAGAGAGAGAAACAGAAATAGAGAATGAGCTGGTTTTGTTGGTTCAAGCTACTACAGTCAAAGTCATGCTTACTGTCTGTACCTTGAATCCCATCAGGCTTCTACAAAATGTATACTGTCTGTCACCAGGGTCCTGGGCAGGGTTAGCACAGAGCTAATGGATCACCACTTTCAGTCCACTCCACTGTCAAGGCAGAGGACATTTTACAGAATACAAAGAGCCACCGCCTCCCACTGGCATACACATTCTCAAAGCTTGTAGTCACAAACTACAGAAAGCCAGTTTACCCTAAGCTCTGGAAATGAAGAAATTTCCTGGCACTTCTCTTGAGGATGACATTCTTGCATATTCTTTCCCTTATCATTGCACAAATGACCACAAACTTTTTTATGTTACTTAACTTCTTATTTCAAAAAGAGCATTCTGACATTAACCTATCTGACATAGAGGAATATCTAAGTTTTCCCCTAAATAAATTTCTGCATTTTAGGTTTTTTTATGGAAATAACAGCAGTGTTTCCCAACTTGTGAGGTGTACTTCTGTGAAGTGGAATCAAGGGCTGTGCTATCAGCTGGATTTTTAAAACTTTAGTGGGACCTATATGTAAATGTATAGTCACAGAGAAAAAACTGTAAAGATAGTACCAAAATATTAGCAGTGCTTATCTCTGGGGGTAGGGTTAAGGACAATTTTGTTTGTTTCTGTTGCTTATCTGTATATTCTAATTTTCTATTACCAACACCTATTATGGACCACCCAACTATGTCAGAATTTATTCCCTAGAACCTATAAATGTAGTATCTGTGTATATGTGGTTAAATGACTGATCTTGAGATGGGGAGATAATTCTGGATCATCTGAGTGAGCCCTAAATGCAATCACAAATGTCCTGACAATTCTGAGTTTTCATTGTATAAACCACCTGTTAAAGTTTTTTGCCTCTTCTCTTGTAAATCAACTTTATTGAAAATACATGAAAATACATCTATTTAAAGTTGTATAGTTGCCCTGACCAGTTTGGCTCAGCGGTTAGAGTGTCAGCCTACAGACCAAAGAGTCCCGGGTTTGATTCCAGCCAAGGGCATGTACCTGGGTTGTGGTTTGTCCCCAGCCCCGGTTGGGGTCATGCGGGTGGCAACCAGTCTATGTGTCTCCCTCACATCCATGTTTCTCTCTTTCTCTTTCTCCCTCCCACTCTGTCTGAAGACACATGTAAAAATATCCTCGGGTGAAGATTAAAAAAATAATTTTTAATAAAACATTTTTAATAAAATGTTAAAAAAAAATGAAGTTGTAAGTTGGATGAGTTTTGATAAAGAACACCCCAAACATAATACAGAACATTTCTATGGCCCTAAAACATTGCCTCAAATCTATTTGTAGGTAAATTCCCTGTCCATCAGCTCTGATTGCAGACAACCACTAATCTTCTTTTTGTAGATTAGAATGTCTCATGTTTAGAATTATTTGTGAATGGAGTTACAACGTATATATTCTTTTGTGTCTGTCTTCTATCACTCAGCATAAGGTTTTTAATATTTATCCATGTTCTTATATATATCATTAGTTCATTCTTTTTTATTGCTGAGTATATGTATCACATATATCACAATATATATATGTATCACAATTTCTTTATCCATTAATCTGTTAATACATTTAGGTTGTTTCTAGTTTTTAGCTGTTATGACTAAAGTTGCTATAAAAATTTCTGTAGATATAGGTTTCATTAGATAAATACTTAGGATTGGAATTGATGGGTCACATTATAAGTAAATGTTTAACTTTATAAGAACCTATCAATCTTTGTCTTTGTGTATTAGAGTTCTAGTTGGTCCACATCCTTGCCAATGCTTGGTATTATCAGTTTTTATTTTATTTATTTAAAAATTTTTTTCCTTTATTGATTTTTTTTGGGGGGGGATATGTGCCCCTAGAGGGAACCGAACCTGGGACTCTCTGGTCCGCAGGTTGACGCTCAACCACTGAGCCAAACTGGCCAGGGCTCCTTTATTGATTTTAAAGTGAAAGGAAGGGAGAGGGAGAGAGAAATAGAAACATCGATGAGAAAGAACATCAATTGGCCGCCTCCTGCATGCCCCCCACTGGGGATTTGGCCCACAACCTGGGCATGTGCTCTGACTGGGAATCAAACTGGCGACCTCTTGGTGCATGGGACGATGCTCAACCACTGAGCCACACTGGCCAGGGCATGTGGTTTGTCTTTTCACTGACTTAATGTCTTGAACAGTTTTTAAATTTTATGAAATTCAACTCATTTATTTCACTTATGACTTGTACTTTTTGTATCATATTTAAGAACTTTTTAAACCTGAGATAGCAAAGATTTCATCTGCAATCTTAATTCTCTTTGCTATGTAACATAACATATTCACAGGTTCTGGATTTTAGAAGGTAGACATCTTGGGGGCCATTATCCTGCCTACCACATAAGTCCATTACCAGAATGAAGAACTGCTCTTCAGTTCCTAGTTTGCTGAGTGTTTTTTTGTTTGTTTGTTTTTACCATGACACATATTGGAGTGTTTACTATGTGCCAATCACTCTGCTAAGTGTTTTACACATATTATGTCATTTAACCCTCACTATAACATGATTATCATTCCCAATTTACAGGGTAATTGAGGCTTAGAGAAACAAACTACCTTCCCCAGAATAATGTAACTAATAAATGTCAGAAATAAAATTTGAATAGAAATACATTAAAACTAAAGCTCAATCTTTTAGTAACCAAAATAGTGGATGTTATTAATTTTCTGCATAGGGTCATTAACTTATCTTTTTAACAGCTCTATTGAGATATAATGCACATACCTTACAATTCACTCATTTAAAGCATGTGATTCCACCCGGCAGGTGTGGCTCAGTGGTTGACCATCAATCCATGCACCAAGAGGTCGCCAGTTCAATTCCTGGTCAGGGCACATGCCCAGGTTGTAGGCCAAATCCCCAGTAGGGAGCATGCTGGAGATGACCAATTGAGGTTCTCTCTCATCATTGTTTCTCTCTCTCTCCCCCTCTCCCTTCCTCGTTCTCTAAAGATCAATAAAGCAAAAAAAAAAATTTTTAAGTATATAATTCCATAACTTTTAGTATATTCTCAGAGTTGTATACTTATCACTACAATCAAATTTAGAACATTTTCAAACCCCCTCCCCAAAATCGGTATTTCTTGGCTGTCATCACTAACATCTATGCACCCAGCCTTAGGTAACCACTAAACTACTTTCTGTCTCCAGACTTGCCTATTCTGCCTATTTCATATAAATGGAATCATAATATGTGGCCCTTTGTGACTGGCTTCTTTCACTTAGCATATTATTTTCAAGGTTCACCCATGTTGTAGCATGTATTGGTACTCATTTCTCTTTATAGCTAAATAATATTCCATTGTATGGATATACAAAATTTTATTTATCCATTCATCATTTGATCAACATTTAGATTATTTCCATTTTAGGGCTATTATGAATAATCCTGCTATGAACATTAGTGTACAAGTTTTTATGTGGATATATACTTTTATTTTGGTATACACCTAAGAGTAAAATTGCTAGATCATATAGTACATCTATGTTTAACCAGTTAACGAACTGATATACTGTTTTCCAAAGCAGTGATACCATTTTACATTAATGAGAGTTATGATGTTTCTTTTTTTTTATCCTCACCTGAGGACATTTTTCCATTTTTTGTTCAGATAGAGTGGGAGGGAGAGAGAGGAAGAGAGAGAGAGAGAAACATCGACGTGAAAGGGACACATGGAATGGCCACCACCCGCACGACCAGCCAGGTCTGGGGACAAACCACAACCGAGACATGCACCCTTAGCAGGAACCAAACCCAGGTCTCTCTGGACCACAAGAAGACTCTCTAACCTTTGAGCCAAACCGGCAGGGCTGATGTTTCTTTTTTTTTTTTAATCCTTCCCTGAGGATATTTTTCCATTTATCTTCAGATAGAGTGGGAGGTGGGGGGGGGGGACAGAGAGAGAGAGAGAGAAAGAAACATCGATGTGAAAGAGACAGATCTACTGGTTGCCTCTCGTACGACCCCAACCAGAGCTGGGATGAACTGCAACTGAGATACATGCCCTTGGCCGGAATCAAACCTGTGACTCATTTATTGGTCTATGGGCCGACGCTCTAACAGCTGAGCCAAACTGGCCAGGGCAGTTATGATGTTTCTTATTTCTCCACATCCTTGTCAACAGTTGTTATTATTTGTCTTTTTTATTATAAGCATCCAAGTGGGTCTGAAGTGTATCTCATTTGATTTTTGCATTCATTTATTCTTTCATTTATTCACTCCTTTAAACATAAGTGAAAAATAGTATTAAAAATAAAAAACATAATGATGTATTTGTGATAAGTGCTAGTAAAGAATAAGCAGGTTACTATAACAGAGACTACTGTGGTAGTCAAGGATACTGGGAAGGTATATTTAAGCTGAGGTCTCAAAGATGAATGGAATAAGAACTGAAAATGCCAAGGAAGAACTTTCTAGTCAGAGAAGAGCAAGAATAGAGGCCTAGAGGTGAGAAAGAGCTTGACTAATTCCAAGAGCTGGAAAAAATGCCAGGATGATAGACTGCAAGTAGAAGAGTGGCATGAGATGAAACTGGGGAGGTAAACGAGAGATGGTAAAAAATTTGGATCTCACTCTAAATACAGTGGGAAGCCACTGAAAGATTCTACATTGAAAGAGGCATGGTATTCATGTTTTAAAAGATCACTTTAGGCCCTGGCTGGTTTAGCTCAGTGGTTAGAGCATCAGCCTGCGGTCCAGAGAGACCCAGGTTTGGTTCCCACTAAGGGCACGTACCTCGGTTGCAGTTTGTCCCCGGCCCTGGTTGGGTCGTGCGGGAGGCAGCCACTCGATGTGTCCTTTTCACATCGATGTTTCTCTCTCTCTCCCTCCCATTCTATCTGAACAAAAAATGGAAAACATGTCCCAGGGTGAGGATAAAAAAAACAAACAAAAACACAAAAAAAGATCACTTTAGCTGCTGTGTTGTAAAATCAGTTAAGAAGTTATTATAGTTGTCCACATGAGAGGTAGTAGTGACTTGAAAAATAATAGCAGCAGAGACGATGAAGAGAAGTGCATTCACACCCTATTTGAGAGGTAGAACAAACTTGAGGTAGCAAGTGAAGGGAACAGTCAACAATGACATTCAAGTTTCTGACTTTAATGATGGGGTGAATAAGGCTGTCATTTACCAAGATAGAGATCCAACAAGTTAAAAATAAACTAGTGAGTTATCAGAGCTTCTTCCAGATGTACAACTTCACTTAGTCTGAATCTCGGACTTTCCTCATAAAATGGCCCCCAAATGCCAGTCTTCTTTCCCACCACAAACAAGGAAACCGAGTCTGGCTTCTGCCCTCAAGCCAGAGAAGAAGACGACCTCTCAGGACTTGCCAAAGGGAGAACGAGAACAGTAAGAAGCAATTGAACATATTGATGAAGTACAAAATGAAATCGTCAGACTTGAAGAAGCTAGTAAGGAGATTTTGAAGGTAGAATAGAAATATAATAAACTCTGCCAACCATATTTTTCAGAAGTGATCAGAATTGATTGCCAGAATTTCAAAGTCTTGGGTAACAACATTTGTCAACCATCCACAAGTGTCTGCACTGCTTGGGAAAGAGGATGGAGTCACTGTGTTATTTGACAAGAGCTGAAGTGACATCATTTGAAGATATTAAATCAAGTTGCAGAGTAGATTTTTATTTTGATGAAAATAAAGTTCTCTTCAAAGAATTTCATCTGAATAAGAGTGGTGATCCATCTTAAAAGTCCACTGAAATCAAATGGTAATCTGGAAAGGATTTGACAAAATGGTCAAGTCAAACACAGAATAAAGCCAGCAGGAAGAGACAGCATAAGGGACCAGAGAGCTTCTTTACTTGGTTTACTGATCATTCTGATGCCGGGGGAAGATGAGTTAGCAGAAGTCATCAAAGATGACATTTGGCTAAATCCATTACAGTACTACTTGGTTCAGAAACTTTATAGAATCACCACCGCCATGCTCTGTGGGAAGAAAAAAAAAAAAACCATTTCTTCCCTTAGTTCTGCTGGAAGCTGGAGGGTACTAGGACCCTGCGTAGTAGTGCATAGAATTCTAGCTTTTCCCCTCCTTTTTCTGTATATTGGCCTTGGAGATTGATTACACCGTGTCTCTATGTTAATATGGACAGTTAGCATTTACCAACATGTATCTACTTTCTTTAGTTTAAAAAAATAAACTTTTTAAAAGGAGGGTATAGGAGTGAGGTTAAAGAAACTGTCTGGACTAATTTTATAGGAGCTCTGGGAAACAGATCTACAGCAACCATACGAATGCTCAATGAATAAAAAGCTATTTTTAAAACGATAGCAATTTTGAGGCATTTTTCATTTGCCCTTGCCCCATCCACTAACAAAATCTTGAGATCCTAAACCGGGACTGACCAGAAACGTTCTTAGTTTTAAAATTCTTTAACCTACCCAGTTAACAAAAAAGGAAAAAGGAGGTAAAAGAAAGGCCAGAAGAGAAGAGCCTTAAAGAAAACAAAAACAACCAAGAGGGAGGAGGATGCCAGAGTGGTCCACAAATTAGAAATGAACTTCCGGTCCTTGGTAAACTTCCGGGATCAACAACAGGGCGACCCAATCAGAACCTTCCTCCGGTAGCCAATGGGAGAGCACATTACAAAGAGCCAATCCCAGCAGCCCTGTCACTGTTATGGTCCTGTCAGAGCGCCGGCGTCGTGGTGGTTGGGCGGTCGCCACCGAAGAGACTTTGGTGGGCAGCCCTGCCGCCCGCAGCGCTGGTCGCGGGCCTCACTTCCAACCTGCAACGCGCGGCTCGCGGGCCAAACCGTAGGGCGCGCGTGCGAGTCGGCGCCGCAGCTGCCTTGGGGCCTGGGCCCAGCCACAGCCTCCTCCACTGCCGCCGGCTCCGAGCGGCCGCGAGATGCAGCCGCCGGGCCCGCCCCCGGCGTATTCCCCCACGAACGGGGACTTCACCTTTGTCTCCTCAGCAGACGCGGAAGGTGAGACTTAGCCCCCGAGGGGCCCCTCGCTTCGGAGGATGCCGGGCCCTGCGCGGCGGGGGCTTTCTGGTGCCGAGGCGGTCGTGGCCGGGTGGGGACGGGCCGGAAGCTGACTGCGCCTGCGGGGCGGTCGGAGAGGCCCGAGTGGCCGAGGAGGGTGTGGGAGCTTTCCAAGTGTCTCGGTCAGCCCCGGCCTCCCCACTCCGTCTAGGCAGGTCTTTCTGGGGGACTTGCCCACCTCCAGTGGATCCACGGAACCCGAAGAGTTTCTGTGAAATGACTTATTACTCAGAACAGCGATGGTTAGTTAGATTGGCCAGGGTAGGTGCCAAAGATGAGAACGAAGGAGAGCCGTGTTCCTCTTATTTATCACTCGGTAACTTTTGCTGGGTTTGGATTCGGCGCTGCAAATACATGGAATTCCTCCTGTTTTTTAGTGGTTGACCTAATATTCAGAGAAGTCCCGGGTATGTTTGCAGCTTCTTGTAAGCCCGCGACGAGTCGGCACCAGCGTTGCAGATTTCCTTGGTCAGAACTGTTGTGGCGAAGCCGTTGTGCTGAGAGGTTTTTCCGCAGGACGGGAAATTTTGTTTTCCTCCTTTTCTCTGTTCCTTACCAGACTTTTTGAAATTGGAATCTTTTTCTGCTAGTCATTTTCAAATTTTAGTTTTATTACACTTAGTGCACCAGTGATTTCCCAGTGATAAAACTTAATGCCTAATATGAAAAAAATAAATTATACTTAGCTATAGAAATTTCAGTCTAGAGAAGAACGTTGTATTTCCTCAGAAATCCGATTTCATAGTGCATCAGTTAGTATAGCTGGTTTCCCACCACCCCCCATTTTGCTTTTTGATTGGTATTGTTTAAAAAATAGTACTGTAGTGTTGCGTATAATTTAAAATGTAAAATAAAATTTTTATCTTTCATAGAAAACGTAGCTGATACATTTCTCTTTTTTTTCTATTACACTTTACAGTTAGTATTATTTTGTATTGGTTTCAGATGTACACATAGTAGTTATACAGTATACTTTACAATGTTCCCCCCTCCACCTGATATTCCAGTGTTCATTTGACACCATACATAGTTATTACAATATTATTGACTGTGTTTCCTATGCTGGTCTTTACATCCCCGTGACTATTTTGTAACTACCAATTTGTACTTTTTCATCCGTTCACCTTTTTCACCAGTCCCCCTACTCCCTCTATATTTGGTGAAATATAGCAACCCAAAATATATATAAATTAATATATATATTAATCCTAACCCAAGGATATTTTTTCATTGTATTTTTAGATAGAGTGGAAGGGAAGGGGAGAGAGGAGAAACACGTGACAGAGACACATGGATTGGTTGCCTCCCGCATGTGCCCAACCAGGACCTGGGATGGAACCTGCAACCCAGGTATTTGCCCTTCATCAGGAATTGAACCTGGGACCCTTTGATATGAAGGCCAAAGTTCTAACTGCTGAGCCAAACCAGCTAGGGCATCTAACTATGAATACTTTTGGCTCATAAATACATTTTCAGTGTGTACCTTTCTTCTGTCCACATCTCTCTTTCTTTTTTTTTTTAATCATCCTCACCCGAGGACATTCTTCCATTCTTTGTTCAGGTAGAGTGGGAGGGAGAGAGAGGAACAGAGAGAGAGAGAAACATCGACGTGAAAGGGACACATTGAGTGGTCACCACCCGCACAACTAACCAGGGCCGGGGACAAACTGCAACCGAGGTACATGCCCTTACCAAGAACCAAACCCTGGTCTCTCCGGACCGCAGGCCGATGCTCTAACCGCTGAGCCAAACCGGCCAGGGCAACACATCTCTCTTTCTTAATAATACCTATCTTTACTATTTTTTTTTTTTTATCCTCACCCGAGGATATTTTTCCATTTTTTGTACAGATAGAGTGGGAGGGAGAGAGAGGAGGGGAGAGAGAGTGAGAAACATCGACGTGAAGGGACACATCGAGTGGCTGCCACCCGCACGACCAACCAGGGCCGGGGATAAACTGTAACTGAAGTACGTGCCCTTAGCGGGAACAGAACCCGGGGTCTCTCCGGACCGCAGGCCGACACTCTAACCGCTGAGCCAAACTGGCCAGGGCCCTATCTTTACTATTTGACCACACATATCCTTTGTCCAAAAATCTGCCTTGATTTTTCATCTTCATATCTATGCATATCCCAGTCCTTATGCTTAAATGCCTTTCTCCTCCTTACTCCAAGTTGAAACTTAAGACTGAACTCAAATGCTCATTCCTTGGTGAAACCTTGCTTAACTGTCCCTCAGAAACAGAAACTTCTGTAATCTTTAAAACATTTTTTCCTTTATTGATTTTAGAGAGAAAGAAAGTGAGAGTGAGAGAGAGATAGAAACATCGGTTAGAGAGAACATCGACTGGCTGCATCCTGCATGCCCCCCACTGGGGATTTGGCCCACAACCTGGGCATGTGTCCTGACTGGGAATCAAACTGGCGACCTCTTGGTGCATGGGTCGACGCTCAGCCACTGAACCACACTGGCCGGATTCTAATCTTTTCTGTATCCCAGCACCTACCACAGAACCCAGACTATAAACATCACAAAATAATTGTTTGTTACAGGAATAAATGACTTCTGCTTTCTTTCTTTTGTTTTATTATTTAAAAAAAAATTTTTTTTTATCCTCACCCAAGGACATTTTTTCGGTTTTTTGTTTAGATAGAGTGGGAAGGAGAGAGAGAGAGAGACATCGATGTGAAAGGGATACATCGAGTGGTTGCCGCCCACACGACCCAACCAGGGCTGGGGACAAACTGCAACCAAGGTACATCCAAGGTACATGCCCTTAGTGGGAACCGAACCCGAGTCTCTGGACTGCAGGCCAACACTCTAACCGCTGAGCCAAACCGGCCAGGGCTCTGCTTTCTTTTTTCATGTGATATTGATACTTGGGACTACAAAACTTAGCACATTTTGGATGGTATAACTAAAAAATTATTTGATTTAGAGCCATAAGACTTTAGTTAAAGTCCTGACTCTTAGAGTAGCTATGGGATATTGGGCAAATTACACTGCTTCTATAAGTGTCTATTTTGTCACCTATAAATTGAAAAGTATACCACTCATAAGAATAGTGTGAGAATTATTTAAATTAATGTGTATAAAAGCAGGGTCCATAAGTACAGTTGAAAGAACATGAGTTATGTGTGAGTAAGCCAATAAATGAATAATGAAATCCAGACAATATTCAAGTATATGGTATAAAATTACATCACAAAGCAGTAATGAAATGTGTATAAATGAAAGAATGTAATGATACCATTATATATAAAGTCTAGTATAGATGTCTTTAGGGCAATCTTTTGGATTTATTTTGTATCAGACATAGTAATTCTTTGCCGGATTTATGTTCACAGACAATCAGCATTGGCTTTACTTGGATGCTTAGTTATGCAGAATCTGCCATATCTATAATCTGCATTTTACCAAGATCCTTTGGTGATTCATGCACACATTAAGCTTGAGAAACGCTGATTTATAATGTTATAAACGATCAGGAAAGGAGGAATTTTATTTCAGCTGGAAGATCAGGGACAATTTGATGGAGGTGGTTTTTATTTTTCTCTTTATTGATTTTAGAAAGAGAGGAAGGGAGGGGGGAAGGAATTAGAGAGAGAGAGAGAGAGAGAAATATCAATCTGAGAGAGACGTATTGATTGATTGCCTCCTGCACAACCCTGACCAGAGCTAGGGATCAAACCTGCAACCCAGGTATGTGCCCTTCACTGGGAATTGAATCCATGACCCTTAGGTACACAGGCTGATGCTCTAATCTCTGAGCAAACTGGCCAGGGTGATGGAGAGGATATTTTACCAAACTTTGAAGGATAACATTTTGTAGGATGCAGGGAGTTACCTTCATCTGCAAGGGACAGTATTGTGAGGGAGTCCTTGACTACAAGAAATGGTCTAATAAGAGATTTAAAAATTTTATTGTATATAATAAATGCCATAAAAGTATGGTTGAATGGAGGAAATAGTTCTGCAGGAAGGGGTCCAGGAAGTCTTCAGGGACAAATGAGGTATATTTTGAAGGATAAGTAGAGGAGTTTTTCAGATTAAAAAGGTGGAAGAGTATGCACTTAAGAACTATGCAAGTAAAATAATTGGTGGAGGCAGTTCCTGTATCTTACACTACTCAATCTACACAGACCAAAAACAGTGTTGATTTAGACCATGAGCTCTTTGGGATTAGAAGCTGTACTTGACTCCCAGAAGCATACTCAGTGCCTAAAACAGATCCTGGCACATAGCAGGAAGTAAGTAAATGTTTGATGAATGAATGACTACATGATACTTCTTGATTTAGATAAAGGTGTTGTGCTACTAGAACTGGTACCCTGATCTTGGACTTCCAGCCTCCAGAACTGTGAGAAATATTTTTCTATTGGATATAAGTTATCTAGTCTATGTTATTTCATTATAGCAGCCTGAACAGACTTAAGACATTCCTGTATAAAAATGATGGTATCTACAACTCACAGTTCATTATTGTGATCAGTAAGTTGTAGACATAATAATCCAATAATTATTGTCAGTGTTCTTTTGAGTAAATTATAAGTATTTTATTTGTTAAGGTGACCAAACATCTAGCCTACTCTTTATGAGTTTCCCCCTCTCCAGGAAGGATATCACCTCTAATACAAGTTAGTAGTATAGGTAGATGAATCTTTAGTTTTCCCTTTTTAAAAAATCCCCTACTCGATTAAAAAAAATTATATCCATGTAGTTATTATGAAAAAATATCTCCGCCCTGACCTGTTTGACTCAGTGGTTAGAGTGTTGGCCCGTGGACTGAATGAGTCATGGGCTTGATTCCGGTCCAGGGCATTTCGTCCCTGGCCCTGGTTGGGGTCTTGCGGCAAGCAACCAGTCGATATGTCCCTCTCACGTTGATATTTCTCTCTCTTTCCCTCCCTCTCACTCTATCTGAAGATAAATGGAAGAGT